CGCCCAGGCCTCATTTCCCAGCCTTACACTTTGGCGAGCCAAGCGAAGGCTCGGGCAGGGGAGCAGGAGCCACTGGCCCAGGCACTTGTCAAAACACAGGGCCCCGAGGTGTGAAGTCCTCACCCAGCGGGAGGGCGCACGGCCCTGCCGCCCGGAGAACTCATTAACTCGGGCAGCTCCCAAATGAACCCGCCGGAGAGGCTGGTGATAAGGAGATCAAAGGTGACAGGCATGGGGAAGGGGAGAGGGAGGCTGGCTGGCAGGAGGTGGCAGGGCCCGGCTGCAGATTGGGGGTCCCTCCTCTGCCCCCACTAGGCTCCATCAGGCCAACGGACCACAGCCTTTGCACAGTCTGGGCCCAGAGACCCCAGGGGGGGGGGGGGACTCCCACGTGGCATCTCCAGTTTGTTAGCATTTAGGGCTGAAGACCCTGCCTCTTTCATGCCATTTTGTGGGCTCTTCGTCTCCACACTCACCCTGGGTCTTTGTATTATTATTATTATTATTACATATTTATAATTTACTAACAGAATAAGACTTCCACAAGTTGCCATATGTGAGTTTTCTGTGAATATATATTTCTGTGTGCATATATTAATGAAGAACATTTGGAAAGTAGGACCAGGCATCACAACCATTTTAGAGAGTGAGAAACTTAAACTTTTTAAAAATATTTTTTTACTGATTTTAGAGAGGAAGGGAGAGGGAGAGAGATAGAAATATCAATGATGAGAGAGAATCATGGATCGGCCGCAACCTGGGCATGTGCCCTTGACTGGAATCGATCCAGGGACTCTTTAGGCCACAGGCCAACGCTCTATCCACTGAGCCACACCGGATAGGGCTCCCCTGGGTCTTTTAAGGGTCCCCCAGCCCTGCAACAGAGACCCGCTTGTCACACACCACTATGGTGCCCTCTCCTGCTCCGATCTCTCGGTGGCTCCCATGTCAGCGCTCAGTGAATGTTAGGTATTAGGTCCCAGATCTGAGATTCCTCGGGAGCCAGACCCGTGTTTTCAGGACAGTCTTGTCCAAGTACGTACACTTGATCTTGTCCTTAATGAAATACAGATTCACTTCGGAGCGTCGTTGCCAACAAACCAGTGGAGATCACAACCATGAGGGGATTGGAGGGACTTTTTGATATTCAGAAGGCTGGCACAGGCACCTAGGCCCTCTGAGACCCACCACCCTCCTGCCTGCTCAGCCTTTACCCCGTACCCCTCTCATGCCATGCAAAGCACACTCTGCCAAGGCCCAACCACCTGTTCCCTCCCGTCCAGCGGGAGCCAGTCACTGGGCTCCAATACCAGGATCTTGGCTTGAATCTGGAGGCCCAAGAAGGCATCCATCAGCCCAGGTGAGGGAGGGCAGACCCTGCTGGCAGCTGCAGGCTGAGGGGGCCAGGCTCTCCTCGAGTCAGATGAAGCAAAGGAGAGCGTGTGACCCCCCTAAGGGCAGAGGCAGGGTCTGCTTGCCCTGCTGTCAGCCCGGCTTCTCTTGATCCTTCCCCGGAATCCGCCAAATCTCTCCCCTTTCTTCCCACCCCCTCCCTCCTCATCACCCCTCTGCCTCCTGTGACTTCCACTGGCCGCATATCCAGCTGATCCACGGCCAGGATAATCAGATTATCGTGGTTCCAGAATAATCTATTCCATATGGCTTGCCAACTCAGTGGCTCCGGGAGCCAGAGGTGTGAGGAGAGGGGGTGATCCCAGTGGGAAGGGGCTCCCTGGGAGCTTCGGGCTGGAGCTGGGCGGCTGCTGGGGAAGGAGGGAGGGAGGAGGAGGAGGAGTTGGGAGCCTCGTGCTGGGCCCTCTGACTGCTCTGGGCTCCAGGCGGCCTCAGCCCGCCTCCAGCCCAAGCACATCCTCATGCATCTGCTTCGGACCCATGGGTGGGGGTGGGGAGACAGGCACCCCGGGCCTCAGTCACGCTCTGCACTGGGAGGCGGCTCACTAGAGTCTGGGAGGTGTTATTTTTCAGATCCGCATTCTCTGGCTCCATCCTCAGGGACCCTGGTGCCGGACACCTTTCTCTTTTTCATGTCCACAGGTCCCTTTGACATGGAGCAGGGTTCCTGGGGGCTTGAGGGCACCACCCCCGCCTGGCACCCTCACGCTCAGGGCAGCCCTCCTGGAAGAAACGAGCCATCGAGCCCCCAGACTCAGAGGTGGCAGTGGCAACAGCAGCTGTGGCCCCAGACAGAGCCAGAGGGACCCCAGCTCTGCCCTTTGTAGCCATGTGACTGGGGACACCCGCTCGCCACTCCGTTGCCTCATCAACCAAGCGAGTCCGTAACACCTGCATTGCCGCATGGCTGTGAGCTGTGACCCAGCCGGGCCCCAGCAGTGCCAGGCCCCAGGTGGCAGGCTTAGCGTGCACATGGGTGCTGCACGAAGCGTGTCTGTGGGTGTGATTCGAGCCTCGCCACGTCTTCACACCCCCCGAGGCACAGAAGCCAGAGCTGGGGCTCAGAGACGGACAGTGAGTGACACAGGTAGGACATGGGACATGGCAGGACAGGGATCCCAGCCCACACTCCAGAGGGGTGTCCTAGGCTGTCTGAAGGTGGGGGCTTCATAAACGACAAGGCTGGAGGAGCCCTGGGAGGAGGGGACCCCCAAATTAGGAGGTTCCCAGGGGATGCGCCTGGCTGCTTCCTTCCCCTGGGGCTCTGGCTCCAGCCGGACAGGAATGAAGGGCTGCCAGGGGCATATTGACATAGCACCTTCGATTAGCACCCGGATGGGATGTCGGGGGGCTGCCGGGAAATGGGGGCACTGGGGCTAGGAGATGGGGGGCAGCGCCTCAAGATCCCGGCTTGGCTCGGCCTGAGGAGACCGGCTGCTTCCTAGCAGGAAGGCGGAGGC